ATGGCCCGGGCTCCCAGTTTTGTGCCCTTTGCGGTGTTGTCGAGGACACGGAACATATTTTTTTCCACTGTCACCTGGCTAAGCTCATTTGGAGTTGCGTGCGGGAATGGTTAAGTGTCTCTTGGGCCCCTGCCTCCTTTGCTGAGCTGCGGATTTTGGCCCACAATTTTACTGGCGTCTCTAGGCGGATCTTTTGGGTGGGCTTGGGAGCGCTGTGTTGGTCCCTTTGGACAACTAGGAACAAATTTACTATTGAGCACGTGTTTCCTGCTAAACCTGCTGACTGCTTATTTCAATCATGTGCTCTCCTGCAGCAGTGGAAATCATTGACTAAGGACGACGACCATGAGGCGCTCTCTGGGCTGACCTCCAAAATCCGGACGACGGCGTCTCTATTATGCAGACAAGCGCAGGATGATTAAGGGCTTTTGTTTGGCTGCTTGCCTTTCTCGTAGTTGGATGATCTCTCTTCCGGCCTGCGTGCCGTGTACTGACGAGGGTGCCATGTACCTGACTTTTTCTTTTGGAGTTCTGCCCTCTGTCGGGGCTTGGGGTGTTTGTTACTTTCATGTGATGGTCTTGCAACCTGCCTTATGGCTTTATTTATAAAGTCGGGCGTATGCCTTTTCTCTAATAAAAAAATAGTTGTTTATTTCAGATTCGACTTTTTGAAAGCCGAAACAGACATGGCCAAGCCCGGTTTATTTCAGGTTTAATGGCTCCGAATCAGATGTGGATTCGCATCACTCGCAAAGCTAATTTTGACACTGAAGTACATTGAGACACTAAAAATGAGTCGAATTGGATTGAAGCTTTGTCACTAAGGTCCAGTTTGTTTCGGCTTCAATGACCTTTCCAATCATATGTGGATTCGCTTCACTAGTAAAGTTGATTCTCGCACAGAAGCACTCCTGGGGAAAATACACCGAAAATGGAATGAATCGGATTTGAGCTTTGCCATTGAAGCTAATTTGAAATAGTTGTTTGTTTCAGATTCATGTTTTTCAAAGCTAAAGCAAATAGGGACAGGTCTGGTTTGTTTCAGCTTCAATGGGCTTCAGATCAGATGTGCATTCGCTTCACTGGCAAAAGCTGGTTCTGGCATGGAAATACACTAAAAATGGCCTGAATCGGATTTGAGTTTTGCCATTGAACATGATTGAAATAACTGCTTGTTTCAGGTTCATCTTTTTCAAAGCCGAAACAAACAAGGCCGGGTCCGGTTTGTTTCAGCTTCAACGTGCTTCAGATCAGATGTAGATTCGCTTCACTGGCAAAAGCTGATTCTGGCATGAAAATACACTAAAAATGGCCTGAATCGGATTTGAGTTTTGCCATTGAACATGATTGAAATAGCTGCTTGTTTCAGGTTCATCTTTTTCAAAGCCGAAACAAACAAGGCCGGTTCCGGTTTGTTTCAGCTTCAACGGGCTTCAAATCATATATGGATTCGATTCACTTGCAAAGCTGACTCTGGCACTGAACTACACTCAAACATGCTTCAAGAAACTACATTGAAAATGACCCGAATAGGATTTGAGCTTTGCCACTAAAGCTGATTTGGAATAGTTGCTTGTTTCTTATTCAACCTTCTCAAAATCCAAGATAATCAGGGCCAGGTCCGGTTTGTTTCAGCTTCAATGGGTTTCAAATCAGATGTGGATTCGCTTCACTAGCAAAACTGATTCTGGCACTGAAGTACACCGAGACGTACTCCAGAATAATAAACTGAATAATGACCCCTAATAGGACTTGAATTTGAAAATGGCCACTGAAGTTGGTTCAAAATAGTTGTTTGTTTCTGATTCAATATTTTGAAGCCGAAACAAACATGGCAAGGTCCAGTTTGTTTTAGCTTCAATGAGATTTGAATCAGATGTGGATTCGCTTCACTGGCAAAGATGATTCTAGCACTTAAGTACACAACGACGTACTTCAGAAAAATACATTAAAAATGGTCTGAACCGGATTTGAGCTTTGCCAGAGAACCTAATTCGAAATAGCCATTTGTTTCAGATTCTTTTTCTCAAAGCTGAAACAAATAGAGCTAGCTATCGTTTGTTTCAGTTTCAACGCGCTTTGAATTAGAAGTGGATTTGCTTTCACTGGCACTGAAGTACACCAAGACGTGCTTCTGAAAAATACATGGAAAATGACCAGCTGGATGTAAGCTTTGCCACTAAAGTTGATTTGAAATAGCTGCTTGTTTCATATTCAAAATTTTGGAAGATGAAACAAACAAGGCCAGACCCGGTTCGTTTCAGCCTCGAAGTAGGAATTCGTTTTAGTGGCAAAGCTAAACCGAAATAGGTGTTCTTTTTTCAGGTTCATAAAGCTGAAACAAACGGGGCCTAAGAGCATCTCCAGCCGTTCGCCCCCCTAGGGCGCCGAAAAAGAGCGGCCTGGGGGCGAGCCGGCGCTAGTTCGGCCCCTAGGGTTCGTTTCTCTCCAGCCACGCGCCCAGGTACCGTCCCCGAAGGCGCTCCATATTCGAAATCCATCATTCCCGCTCAAAGAAACAACAAACCGGTGATCATCGCAATAGTTCGACGATTCACAGTGCCACAGTTCGGCGATCAAATGTACGTCGGCGTACAAAAAAGGAAGGACGCGGAAGGCATCAGGCGCCGAGCTCAACCTCCGGCGGCGGCGACGGCGGCGTACGCGGGCTGGGAGGAGTCGGCGCGGCTTCCGGGCTGTTCGGCGCGGCGGAGGCATCGTCGTCGGTGGGGCTGGGCGTCGCGGAGGCATCGTCATCAGCCGCCGGCCTGGGCGGCGACGTCGGCGTCGCCGGTATCTGGTTTAGGATGAGGCCGCGCTCGGCCAAGAACCACGCCTTGAGCTTCTCGTCGCCGCTCTGGAGCATGTCAGCGCCGCCCATCAAAAAGGCGAGGTCGTTGTTCCTCTTCTTGGCGTCTTGAGCTTTGAGCTTCGCGGCGGCGCTGGTCCGGAGCAAGTCGAGTTTGACGGTGTTGTTCGTCATCAAAACAGCCCACCTTGCCTCGGTTTTCTCTTCTTGCTCGGCGGCCCTGGTCTTGGCGTCGGCGAGGCAGTGTTCGATGGACTCTTGCACGTGCGCGGCAGCCGACTCGACATATTTCGCCTTCTTGGCACCTTTGTTGCGGTCGGCGCATCCGGTTTGTACGTCTCTTTGGCCTTGGCGAGGGTGCGTCGGACGGCCGCCCATTTCTCGCACTTGTCGATCCGCTTGAAGACGTGGAGGTACTTGAAGTCTGCGTCGTTGTTGTCGTCGCGGAACATGGCGAACATGTGTAGCAGCTGCGTCGAAGAAAGGACATCAGTCGGCACCAGAGCGCGCGTCAGGGCGCGTACAAGGCGAAAGAACGCTCGCGGAGCGAAAGAACAGCTGCGATACCTGATCCTCGAGGCTGGTGCCGCTCTCCGGGCGAGCCGCGACCTCCTCGACGATCCCATGCAATTTGTTGCACGCCGTTTGGATGAGCGACCAATGGTTCGCCATCCCCTTCGACCCTCGCTTCATGCGCATACCTTTGAAGTAGGGGTCGACGAGCTTCCGCTCGTCGAACTCGTCCTTGATGCGGTCCTAATACGTCTCGATGCTCTGATCCGTGCCGGTGACCGGGTCGAGGCAGACGACCTTCCACGCTTCGGCGAGGCACTCCTCTTCCTTGGACGCCCATTTGATGTGTGGCTCGCCGGACTTGGCCGTCTTCTTCTTCTTCTTCTTCTTACCTTTCCTTGTTGGCGTCGGCTCCTCCTCCTCTTCTTCCTCCTCCTCCGGCTCTTCCTCGCCGTAGTCGACCTCGCCGTCCATGTCGGCGAGGCCAATCGAGCCGTCCTGCGTAGTGAATCCGGGGGAAGCGGCGGCGGCAGCCGAGCCGGCTGCGATGATGTCCTTCATGTCGGCCTCCGTCGTGTCGGCGTCACCGAGATGCGAAGAGGATGAGGCTTGCGAGTAGAGGCCGTGGCGAAGAGGGGGTGTCGGTGAGGCTGCGTAGTCCGGCGGCGAGTACGTGTAAGGCGGGTATTGCAGGCCGGCGAACGCGGGCGAGGGCGTGCGCTGGGCAGGGCGCCCGTGGGGGAAGGTGATGTTGGGGTTGAAACCACCGTGAGCATCCCCATCGGCATAGCCCGGCGACGGCGTGCTCCATGGGTGCGGCGACGACGAGAACCCGGCCGGAGAGCCGACGCTTTGCTGGCTCCAAGTCGCGTACGGGTGCCCACCGGGTGGATTTGTCATTGCCGCGCACGCCACCTCCGCCTGTTCGGCGGCACGCTCCGTCGCCGCCGCCGCGGCGTACGCCGCTTTTTCCCTCGCCTTCTTGGCGCCTGTCAGCGGTGACGGCCTCCTGGCGCTCCACATCCGCCTTCCACTCGGCGTTGGTCATGCCGGGGGGCTTGGAGAGCGGAGCCCTCGGCTTCCTTTGCTTCGGCTGGGCGGCGGCGGTGGGATCCGTCGCGGCGCGCGGCATCACGTACTTTTTCGGTGGCATGACCGGCGGAAGGACAAGGAGGAGGCGGGGGTTTGGCTGGAGGAATGGAGAAGAGAGGGGTGAGCGCGGGAGGAAACGGCGGGAAAAGGGCTTCCAGTCGCCGACAGAGCGGCCCCACGCCGCTTTTGGCTTGTGCCGGCGCGCCCAGGCGGCACCCGACCGTTTGGGTTCGGGGCGGAATCGCCGGCTCTGAATTTCACCCAAACAGACGCTAAACGAGATCCTGGGGGCGTGACTGGGCCGATTTTCGGCCACCGGCGCTAAAAAACCGCCCTTGGGGCCTGTTAGGGGCGTGACTGGAGATGCTCTAACTCTCATGTCTTTGATCACCAAGTCGACACAGAAAAAAGAAAGTTGAGACAGATTGAGATGGAGAGATTCGAACGAGCAAAGGAGAAACATAAACGTTTCACTCTATTGTCGAGAGCCCACAACCACAAGAATGGAAGAGAGACGCCATAGAGAGACGAGGTGAGCCGAGCCGACGAAGCAAAATCGAAGAGCGAAGACGAGTGAGTCCACGGCATGACACTGTTACCGCACGACGCTTTCGACTTTGACGAGTCCTCGACTGGATTCCTGCCTATCTACTCCGTCCGGAGGCCGCCCACCCGCTTCCTTTTTGCCGCGGCCGTCGCTTTTCGCGAGCCGACCCAGCAAAGTGGCAGCCATACCAACATACCAAGCGAGGAAGAAAAACGACACCAAATTATACGAGCATCTCTCTCCCGTCGCGCAAAGGGAGGAGGAGGGAGAGACCATCCACTCCACGGCGCCGATCGATCGGAGCAGCGGAGAGGACGGCGCGCGCGTCGGCGATGCGGAAGGGGCCGTCGCGGTCGGGGTCGGCGCGGCACCAGCAGTTCCGCGCCCGCGCCAAGACCCGCGTCGACGACCTCCAGGACATGTTCTCCGGCCTCCAGTACGCCCGCAAGGAGGCCCGCTCCACCGACGCCGTCCTCCTCGAGGCGCAGCTCCACCAGATGCTCCGCGAGTGGCGCGCCGAGCTCAGCGTCCCGTCCCCCGCCTCCTCCCTCCAGGTATGTCTGTCCCCTCCTCCATTCCTCTGCGTTTTTTCGTTTTTTGTGCCGTGCTGTTTTGCCGGTGTTTGATTGGGCGGCTGTGGTCGATGGCGCGGCAGGAGAACAACAACCGGGACCCGTCGGATCCGCCGTCCGAGACGCCGCGGCCGCCGCAGCTGGCGCCGGCCGAGGAGGAGGACGACGCCACCAGCAAGCTCGTGGAGCAGAAGCCCCGGCCGTCCGCTAATCAGGCTCACAAGCACGCGCAGGGAGATCACGACATGAAGCCGGAGCCGCACGAGGAGGCGATCGCGGATCCAGTGACGGTGGCGCAGCAGCCGACGTCGCTGGGTCCGGGAGTTGTCGCCACTGGTGGAGAGGTGCTGACTCCTGCTACTGCCGTGTTCCACGATCAGGTAGTCTTATTAAGTTGTTGTTAACAGTTTGCTACTTGTGGCTTACTTTTTAATACCTTTGTGGTTTACTGTGAATGTATGATCCCTGGTCGTTAGATTATATCCGTATACTTTTAGTTGTATATATGGTGTGATCTGCTAACAACTTCCCGTTCAATTATCATTTAGTGAGGATTTTTGCATTTCTTATGGAAAAAATACTTGCGCGTTGGTGGGGAATGACATGGAGCTCTATATACTGATCAGTTGATCAGAATCACAAATTTTCAAATTTGAACTTGTATGGAGATCTGTGATGGATGTGCATATCAATCTAGGTTGTCTTCAGTCCAGCGGTAAAATTAGATTTCTATATAGTACTATAAGGCTTGAGCTACTGCCTTTTGTGATTTGGCTTTTGTAGCTAATCTCATTGCAGTGATACTGGTAGATCGGATCTAGTTGGCTTATTACTTTATTTTGGGGTAAAAATATGTGATTTACAACCACAATGGAGATCATGTGGCTCCAGGAGTTGCATAGTTCTGACTAATCCTTCTTTTCTTCAACTTATGTTTGTTAATTTAGTTTATATCTTCGATACCGTCAATTAAATCAAGCTCTTACAAGTGTTTTGTGCTTCTGTGGTCAAAATTGTAGCTTAAGGGTAATTTTTTTATTCTTTCGCAATACATTTTGCCTTTGAACTAAGCATAGACATAGTAACGCACTAAACTCTTATCATTCTTCTACCCTTTTATTAACATGAGCATGAAAGGGCTGTATGGCACCAGCAGGAGCTCTATGTGGTCCGGGCCAAATAGATTAATAGCTGGTCGGGCCGGGGGCATCTTCAGATATCGATGAAAGCATAGTGTAGCAGTTTTCACAATGAGTCTATGGCTCTATGCTTTCGATGGTCTTGGATAATCTTTATCTACCTAGTTTTACACATTTGCATTACATAACAATAATAGATTCACGCAGACTGCAAAGCCACTGAGCTTTATGTCCTGCAAACCATGCTCCATTTAGTCAGAGTACAGCCTCCAGGTGGTTGTAATTTTTATGTCTAGCATAAATTGAACTCAAGAATATGCTTGTTTATATATCTCAACGAATACCATTCTGTGCTTCTTGTAGTTGGGGTAAATGCTGGTTAAGTGATCAGTTAAGCTGATTTATAATGTACTCCCTCGTAAAGAAATATAAGAGTGTTTAGGTCACTACTTTAGTGATCTAAATGCTCTTATATTTGTTTACGGAGGGAGTACTTTACTATGATTGCTTCTAGTATAGGGGGCAGCCCGGTGCACGTAGCTCCCTCTTGCGCAGGGTCCGGGGAAGGGTCCGACCACTTTGGGTCCGTCCATTGTACGCAGCCTTTTCCTACATTTCTGCAAGAGGCTGCTGGGTCCGTCTATTGTACGCAGCCTTTCCCTACATTTCTGCAAGAGGCTGCTTCCAGGACTCGAACCTCAACAACTTTACCGCATGCGCCAAGGCTCCCCGGTGCATGATTGCTTCTAGTATATGGACCTGAAACCATCGGGGTTAGTTCAGACTATTGTCAGTGTATTTGGTGGGTTCTAAATTTATTTATTTTTGTTAAGCTGATTTGTAGTAATATTTGGAGACAAAAAGTAAGTTTTTTTTGTCTTTAACCATCTTATGGGGTACAAGGGTGCTTTGTTTTTCATCTTAAGTTAGGATTGTTTTTTATCTACCTTTTCTGCCCGCTTCTCTACCCCCTTAGCATGCTCGTGTGATACCCTGCTGACGCCTTTTCTTCTTTTGCTGTACACTGCCATATACTCCCTCCGTTCGAAAATACTTGTCATCAAAATGAATAAAAGGGGATGTATCTAGATGTATTTTAGTTTTAGATACATTCCTTTTTGTCCATTTTGATGACAAGTTTTTTCGGACGGAGGGAGTACTAAATTTTGGCTCATAGTTTTTGTAGAAGTAGCAGTATCTACTTCATTCAGTTAGGGGTGGGAAAAACCCTGCAAACCAAAAGCAAAGGATAGTTCTGAAGGACGAGGAGCAAGGAAAAAGGAACCGACCAACGTTCGATACTGCCTCTAGTAGCCTAGCAAAATCAAATCACTATCATGACAAATTTCAGAGGTGAAGGCAACGACGGGATCCTACTTTCTGCCCCCTGCCTTATTCACGCTAGAAGATGATGCACAGGGATTTTCTTATTTTGAAATAAAAAAGAAAAAACAATCCTTTACCATCCGAAGTCTCCATACTTGGCCTTTTTAGACGTCCTCTATCTACCGCTTGCTTCTGCTCATGAACCACAAGAAGACTGAAGCCTGGTGATCTTGACCATAAAAGGAGTATTTAACCAAAAACTACCACAATTCACGGAACCGTGACGAAAAACTACCACTTTACGATTTTGTCCCGAAAACTACCACTTTCTCGCTAATCCGTGGCAAAAAACTACCAAGTCGCGAAATCGCTCGCTTGGCCTCTTCTAAACGCATTTCTGACAGGATGGGCCCACCTGTCAGCATCAATCTTCTTCTTCCTCCTCCTCCTCCTCTCTCTGGCATTTCCTCGAACACCTCGCGTGCACTCCGCGGCGCTCGTGGCCGCCCCTCGCTCGTGGCCGCCCCTCGCCATCGTCTGGCCTCGCCGCGCCCCTGGCCGCGCGCCCGTGGCCGCGCCCGTGGCCGCGCGCCTGGCCGTGCCCATGGCCGTCTGGCCTTGCTGCGCCCCTGGCCGCGCGCCTGGCCCCGGCGCGCTCGCCCGCGGGCGCCCCGCTCCAGGGATCCACCACGCCATCGCCACCCGGCTCGACCACGCCGTCGTACCCGACGCCTCCGTCGAGCTCCAGCACCCCGTCGTACCACTCGCCGCCCCAGGGATCCACCACCCCATCACCACCGCAGGGCTCAACCACTCCATCGTACCCGACGCCGCCGTCCAGCTCCAGCACCCCGTCATCCCACTCGCCGCCGCAGAGCACGCCGGGGACCCCGTCGTACCCGTCTCCTTCGTCAGGCACCCCGATGCCAGTAGGAGGCCACGCGCCGCCTCCCCCAACCTCGGCCGACAAGCCAGACGGGCGGTACGCGCCGCCTCCGGGCTCGTACGGCCCCACGACGCCCTCCGGCAGCCACCAGACGCCGTCGCCGCCCACGGAGTACCCCGGCTACGCGCTGCCTCCCCACTCGCCGGGGACACCAGCCACCACCACGCCTCCATCAGAGATGCACCCAGGCACCCCGTCCTCGCCGTCGTCGGGAGCAACAACGCCGTCCACGCCCGAGCACTGCGCGCCGCCGTCCACGCCCGAGCACTGCGCGCCGCCGTCGTCGAGTGCACGCGAGGTGTTCGAGGAAATGCCAGAGAGAGGAGGAGGAGGAGGAAGAAGAAGATTGATGCTGACAGGTCGGCCCATCCTGTCAGAAATGCGTTTAGAAGAGGCCAAGCGAGCGATTTCGCGACTTGGTAGTTTTTTGCCACGGATTAGCGAGAAAGTGGTAGTTTTCGGGACAAAATCGTAAAGTGGTAGTTTTTCGTCACGGTTCCGTGAATTGTGGTAGTTTTTGGTTAAATACTCCCATAAAAGCCTCCCTGCAAAACCTGTCTTACCAAGCTCAAGCTGCATTCAAGAAGAGTGGTGATTTCCAGCTTTGTGTGACACAGCTGGCAAAAGTAGTTATTGGATGCAGGCGGAGCCACGTCCGCCTGCATTCCTTGCAGGAGCTACCAAATGTGGAAGCGCTGCTTCAGAGACATCCATGGTTTCCTTTTTTAAAAAATTTGGTTTGAATCAAACCAAGGAAATTCATGCTGTACATGGATTTGTCTTTTATACTTGCGCGCGTAGGGTGAAGCGTCACACAATCTTGTACCTCTGCCCTGGGATTAGTTGGGATTGTGCTGCCTGCGGGCATAGCATAGTGAATTTCTGGAGAAGGGGTCATCTCAGCGCTAATATCATCAATCATCTTGCATTGTTTAGAAGAGCCGCCAGTGTGTTATGCTTTCTACATGACATCTTGTTTAGGTTCAGTGCTAGGTCTTTTGGAGTTTTGCCATCTCTCTGTCACTTCCATTTCTTGAGTTCTACTTTTGACATAACTGAGCTAAATTTAACAAGGTTTTGCCATGTCCTTCCAGATGTACTATGTGAACCAGGAGCTTAGTGTTGAGGATTTTCTTTACGACGATGATTACAAGATAAACCTTCCTGGGTCCAATCCAGAAATCCTCAATAACCTTGAAGGAATTGGTCACCAAGAATATCTGCAGTTCAATTTGCCACAAGAGTTGCCCCCTAATGCATATCTTGATATGAACAACTATGGGCAGAATGCTGGAGATGGTTTCCTCCACATGTCAGACTTGCTCACAACAATGTCTCCAGCACCTGCTTCATTTCTGAGGCCAAAGTGCGCTCTCTGGGACTGCCCTCGGCCTGCTCAAGGATCTGAAAGGTGGCAAGATTACTGCAGCATGTACCATGCTGAATTGGCTGTGAAGGAAGAGGGCCCTCCAGGCACAATGCCCGTGATCCGTCCTAGAGGTATAGATCTAAAAGACGGCCCTTTGTTTGCTGCTCTTAGTGCGAAAATCCAAGGAAAGCATGTCGGTGTTCCTGTCTGTGAAGGGGCTGCAACTACGAAGTCCCCTTGGAATGCACCTGGTAACTTCTTGCCACATAACTCATGTTCTTACATTTGTATCGGTACCGGTAATTATGTTCTGACTGTTTGTCCATTTCTATCATCTGCAGAACTTTTTGATCTTTACATCTTTGAAGGTGAATCTATGAGAGAATGGCTTTTCTTTGACAAACCAAGAAGGGCATTCGACAGTGGAAACCGGAAGCAAAGGTCGCTGCCAGATTACAACGGCCGTGGCTGGCATGAATCAAGGAAGCAGGTGATGAAAGACTTTGGGGGTCTGAAGAGATCATACTACATGGACCCACAGCCATCCAGCAGCTACGAATGGCACCTCTATGAGTATGAGATCAACGACCGCGACGCTTTCGCCTTATACCGGCTTGAATTCAAGTCTTCGGAAGCAAAGAAGAGTGCTAAGTCAAAATTCACTTGCAGCCCACTGATTGAAATCCAGCAGCAAATGGTCAGGCTGAGCGCAGACGGTCCCGTGGAGAACAAGCGGACCGCCCGTGCGCGGACACAGGATGTCAGCACAAACGTCTACCCGGTTCAGAACAACACGGCTCAGGCCAATGCTCCGGACGCTTACCAGGCAGCGTCGCAGGCGGACCAGATGACGTTTTTGAACGGCAGTGTTGTTTATGGGCCTCATCTCCCGTATGGTTACTCAACCGAAGGAGGTGACTTCTATTGGAACTCAAATGACGGGGCTTGATAAAAACATCTTGGACTTGTGGCATATTTTCGCCTTCAAGTTCTAACCGTATCAGCTGTAATTAAGGGGTCTTACTCTATTGGCAATGGCCTCCATAATTTCTATTGGGAATGGCCTCCGTGATTCTTCTAACTGTAATGGTTGGGCCAAATTTAAATTTACAGGAAACGTCTCTCTGAGGCAAGGGGTGACTCGTTCCTCGTGTCTGTGCCGCAGTCCTGTACTCGTGTAGTCCTGTGTCCTGATGGTAGCGTCTCCTTGGTGCACAGCGCATGATGAGGGACAAAGTACCACGTTCGATAGGCGTCGACCTCTCTGTTTTGTGTGTTGTGTTGCGCATGCGCTTTGATGTTCTGAATCTCGGTGAAATGCTGAATTTGCGTATGTCACCCTTCAGCTGCAGCTACAGGTTTAACCTCTAGAAAGGAAAGCACGTATTGGTATTTAGCAAGGTTGTGAATCGTGTTGTTGTAGCGTCCAAGGGCGCAGCACAAGTTTCTGAAGAAAAGCACATAGCAATATTTTTTACATGTGCAGCTACGGCAAAAGGACCGTACAAGGAGGCGCCTTGGCTCATGTCCATCGGGTCTCCAACACACATACAACATAGTTTTTTTTTTGAAACGGATACAACATAGTTTTACACAACACAACAAACAAATAAACAAAACTTCGTAATGCGCAATGCGGCAGTGACCTTCTGTTCAGTGCTATGTCCAAGCAACCCTGCACAATTCCTCCTCTGCTCGAAGGATCGATCATGCTGCTTCATGGAATTGCAAATGTGGATGAAAGTCTTTGGACATTCTAAACCGGCGTCGGAAGTAACTTTCCGAAAAAATGGATGGTGAACCGAAATACTTGCGCATTAACCTCATGTGCGCCTCAACCCGTTCTCTCCGAATGAACGCATGGCCATACACGGAACCGCCGTGCTTCGGCTTCTTCCTCTTGTGCATCGCCACTAGCATAGCAATGTCCTCTTCTTCGTTCAAATCAAATTCCTCACCCGACAAGGAATCGTCCATGAAAGAGGAGTCACACAAGCTCATCTACAATGCGGAAAATCACCGTCAAACTAACTCTCCAACCCGAACAAAAAAGTCAAGTTTCACCATCTTTTTACCTTCGGGAATTTCGTCGAACACCTTGCTTGCGGGGTGGACGAAATCGGCCAGCTGCAGGTTGGGCAGTCATCCGGCGGCGGCGGATACGGGCGATGGCGACTGCTCGATAGAGGAGATGGCCGCAGGTCGACAGAGAAGAAGGCGGGAGCTCGACGTGGCCGGTGGCCGGCTTTGCACGACCGGGGCTCACAGCCATCGGGCGGGTGGCGTGCCGCGCCTCCCCTAGCTCCGGCACGGGTAAGGGGAGGGGGGCTGGTGTCCTAGGCTAGGAAGAAGCATAGCCCATCGTATACCTAGTTGAGGAAGGCATTTAGGCCAGCCGCAGCCGCCGGAGATTTTGACGGCAGCCGAAAGTGAATCGGTGGCTGGGGGGCGCGAAGTCGCGACGGGCCTGCCAGCCGTCGGGCGAGCAGTGGCGGTGCGGCATCAATTTGGTGTGAATTCAGCCAGCGGCGACTGGTCACGCGAAAGTGAAATGAACGACAGTTGGCGAGCGATTGCATTTTTAATCTCCATATGGTGGAAATGCAAATTTGCAACCCGAGGTGTTGTAGTTTACATCTTCGGGAGGCACAGATGTAATATATATATATAAAAAATGCATCCACACCATGTCTTGGGGAGGTGTTTTTGGACCTCAGAGATGCAAAAGGTAGTTATTTTTACATCTCTAAAAAGGTAGTACTATATTGTATATTCACATGTTTTTCTATGTGTAGCACACATGACAATATTTTTAATAAGATTCTACATACACATAGAACGGTGATATTATGACTTTAAAGTGTTTTTTATTAATATTATTATTAGCATTATTGTTATTATTATTTTAAAAAGGCTCCAGGAGATATACACCAAGGAAGTGACATGGCTAAAACAGTTTATTCATGAGCTTTGGAATATATACCAAATTAAAGCATCAGAAGATATAATGCATAAAAACACGCTCACTCAAGCACCACCGCAAGACAAGAGTTTCACATGGTTCATCAAGTAGAAAAGGAGCAATTAGTAAATATAACAACATAGTATCGGAATAGATCCATTGTCACCACAAGAATTTATTTTCAAGTTCTTAAGCCCTGAGCCCCTGACCATAAACCAACAACTTCTCAAAACATCACCATGGCACCTGATCTTCATTCATCATCTGTGCGCACAGCTGCAACATGAACAACCAAGTTAGTGATCAAGAGAACAATACATCATGAAGTACAACCAAAGCAAGAAAGAGCCTCATTTGGTTCTACTTGGTTCAATACCCACCAACCACAATGAGAAAGCAAGATGTTAAATATGCAACTACAAAATCATCACAGAAGCTGGATAAGCAAATTATTCAGAATGGCATAGATGTTGGATGCGACACTTCATGCAAATCACTCAAAGAGCAAACATAACAGCCACTTAAGCATTCCAAAACAAAACTACATCTACTTTTGCAGTTCCTGAAAGAATATCCACGAGTTGCAATTACAATATAGATAGTTATGTGAAACACAAAATCAGTATTGCTATAGATCACTACTCAGTGTTCACATGCAATCATGCATGCGGCTGAATAAACTCCCTCTGCTTTTGCTACCAGCTCTGTATCATATAAATAGGGTATGACAAATCTTGAGGCATTTGCAGAACTATGAGGTACTGATGCATTGGCGCTGAAAAGTGAAAACTACAGGTGCTAATTATTACCACACCATTCCCTCTATTAGTAGACTTGCACATGCCTTTGATTCATGAGGTTTCTTTATCGTTAGCATGAGTTCGTGAATGCTCTTGTGCACGCAGCAGACGTGGTGCCACAGATTAAGCTCATGATATTTTCCTTGCATCAGGGGAAAGAAGTATATTGCAAAAAGCTTGCAGAGATTAATCAATAACTATGACTGCATAGAAGTTCAGGTGGGGTTCCTACAGTTAATCTTCAAACAGAGCCACCAATACCAAGTTTCTCCTGGTTTTAAAGGAACACAGGCATATTTTTTATCTGGTAAAATTATGCATAAAACAGAGACGATAAGCACCATCATGTCCACCCAATCCAGCCTATGGAAGGTCACACTCAGGGTAGGATCCTCGTTATGTATTACTTCATGCATTCATGGTTACTCATCTCTATTTTCCAGCAAATAAGTAATACTAAGTTAGTACTAAACTGTAAAACATAATCTTACGATTCTAGCAGCTCCAGGCTATAGGGCGAATTAAAATTCCCAATACATCTCAAGTGAGCTGATACCAGCCGCCGCCGCAGATGACACAAAAATCTTGTATATTACACTGACAGCTTACTTTAAGATCATCCTTTTGCGTATGTCAGTTTTCCCCCCCCTCTTCACAGCACATTTCTACCAACAGGAAAAGAAAAAACGACGCACACTAGATCTGTGCCATCGTCAACGACGCACACATTTCTACGCAGGTGTGGAACAGATTCACGCGACGGCGCGCAGCCCAACCAAAAATCATCACTGATCAGATCGTATTCAATCCAGCAGATCAACCTAGACAAGTAAACCGCTGGACCTAGACCAAGATCCACATCCAACAGTACTAAGCCAGATCCACGAACCCTAGGATTCATTCCGTGACCAGGCAAATCAAACCGGATCGAGGACGCGAGACAGGGACTTGATCGAATCGAGGAACTTACTGGGCTTCTGCTGCTTCTCGTCGGTCCACTTGGAGAGGGAGAAGTGGACCTTCTCGCGGGAGGAGACCTCGGTCTTGAAGGGCTCCTTGAGGCAGCTCCGCACCAACGCCGCGCAGACGTTGGAGTAGCCGATGTAGGTCATCCCCGCCGCGCGCCAGAAGGGCACCGCCGCAGTCATCGCCGACATCGTCGCCTCCGCTTCCTCTCCTCTGCTTTTTTTTTCTCTGCTAGGGTAGAAAGCTTCCTTTCCTCTGCTCGAGCCGCCGCCGCCGATGATAGAGATGGGGAAATGGGCCTTGAGGCTTTTTATCTTCTCGCTGGGCTTCTTTACTTCTGCCCAAACGGTCGGGAACGAGGCGCAGACGCGAAACCTACCGGTTCGATTAGTCCCACATAGCTTGCGGAGCTCGGCGGGCTAGGGTCAGACGGGTATAAATGGAGGGGCAGGGCCCCGTTCTGATTCGTACTCCCTTAATTCCAAATTGATTGATTCCCATTTCACTAGCTACAAATGTATATGTATATCTATTATATTTGTGTCTAGTTAAATGGAGGTCAATTAATTTGTAATGGAGGATGGAACGTGTTTTCTGGATATGCTTAAACTTTCCAGGTGTTGTGCACCCCAACCAAAGCTAATATAATTATTTTGATTAGCTTAAACTTTTACAATAGAGGTGTGGCTCACTAAAGCAGGACTAATTTAATTGTTTTGATCAGCTTAAATTATGATGGCTTACGATGGGCTGCGTGAAAATAAGTAGTAATATGCATATGTTACTACTTTATATTACTACCCTTATATGCATATGTTACTACTTTATATTACTACCCTTATATGCATATGTTACTACTTTATATTACTACCCTTATAGTAAGAAGTGTCATATGTGTAGTAACATACACATGTTCATTTATTGTCTTATAGACTCATTTTGCATTGGAAAGTGCTATGTGATGGTAACATATTAGGTTACTCTATTTGCCTCTCTCCTCATTAACTACTTGCCACATCAATATTTTTGCTTATGTGGCATCTATGTTGTTACCTATGTTACTCCCACTATGACCAGCCTTACCCAGCCAACACCATCGCGAGTTCCCCGATTCCTTCTGTGGCCCTGGGGCACCCGAAGGCTCCTGAGGGGTCCGCGCCGGGGCGCTTAGGCTCCTGAGGAGTCCGTGCCGGGGCGCTTAGCCTGGCCCCGTTCCGCAAGCGCGCCACCGGAGCATGATCTAGCTACCTGCGTTCTAACGTTAGTGCAATATGTTTTGGAGAGACTAATTGTAAATGGGGGTTGTCGACGCGGGCGCGGGCACCGCGTCGGCTCATGAGGGGCCCTGGTCTTGCGAAGTCTTGACGATCCCGACGAACAAGCCACTGGGAATGGTGAGCTCGATCTTCACTTCTGTCGCGGGGTGAACCCATTGACAGCGGGGCGGGGGCCACGGCGGCCGTCATTCTGACGTCGGCCCTTGATCCTTCTGTCTTATCGACCTCCGCTGCCGCTGGTCGGCCGTGCCGGCCAGGAAGTGGCCTGCGGGGGATTCCTGCCCTGCCCGGCATCCGGGAAAGCACCTCATGAGCTGGAGGAAAAACCAGATCACAGCCTGGCCCCTGCGGGGCCCCCCAGGTTGCCTCCCGAAGGAGGAGCCGACGCGGCAAGGGCAAGTGCGGGTCCAGTGTAGGGGTTGCGACTCCTGCACAGGGCGGAAGAGCTCTGAACCTCCGCAAGCGGCGTCAAGAGACCGTCAACTCGGTCGAGCTAGGCATCATAGACACCATTGGTGGGATGATTGCGTAAAAGCTCGCGCGCCACGAGGAGTGCCACCTGGGCGTCCATAGACTTATGATGAGGGCGAGATGGTGGCGCCGCGGCAGGGTTGAAGGTGGGCGCGGGGGTGTGGCCGCCGCCCGACGCGAAAGGCGATGGTGATAGTTTCTGCCATTGACGAGCGGCGACGCCTGCGGCGGTGTTAGCCCTGGGGCGACAAGGGCGCTGAGGCGTATCATGGCAGAGGAGTGCCGCCTGGGCGGCGAGAGTGGCCTAGTGCTCAGCGTGGGCTCGGCGAGCCTTTGCCATGTGGTTGCGAAAGCGGAGATGAAGCTAAGGTGGAGGAAGAACTTCGACACACCCCTACTTGGCGCGCCAAATGTCGGATTCGGGGCTCTGTAAACCCAAGAAGGTTCGAACTCTGGGGCATGTGCGAAGATCTCAACCTCTCAAGCCCCAAGCTCGCCACCCTACAGCCTAGCCTCGTCGGATTCGCGTGAGCGGGAAGAAGATGAACACGGCAGTTTACCCAGGTTTGGGCCACCTTGCGGTGTAAAACTCTACTCATGCTTTGTGGTGGATTGGCCTCACGAGGGGCTGAGGATGAACAAGTACAGTGGATGAAAAGCCACGCGAGGGTTATGGTGGTGTGGGTGGAAAGGATCTGAATGGGAGGAGCCGGATCCCCTTCTATGGTGATGGCTATCCTATACTTATAGTGGCCTTGGTCGTCTTCCCCAAAACTTAGGCGGGAAGGGATCCCACAACGACCAATTTGAAAGGGGACAAGAGGTGCATCTAATCCCCACGAAAGGTGGTCTTCTCCTGCAAAGCTTCTGGTCTTGACGCAACAGTGGGCTCGGCGATGACATCCGTCTTGCGAGTCCATGGTCTTGGTCTTGTAGCACCGGAATGGAAAGCTTTGGGGGATTCCTCGGGAATCCACGTCTGTCCTTGCTCCCTTAGCACCGAAATGGAAACTATCTCATCTACGCCCGCTGGCGCCCGCCTGGCCTTGGTCATCATGGCTCACGTCATCGCAGCCTCGCGAGGCTGGTTACCTGCATAGAAATCACCGCTCCTCGGGAGGCAATCTGGGGAGGCCGCTCCCTCTAGAGGTCTTGGTGTCATCCGCGTCACGAGTCCAGGGCCCTCGTGAGGGTCTTGACTTGGAGGTCTTGCTGTTGGGCCGTACCGGGCCATCGAGGAAGACACGTTGTGTGCCGCAGGCAGGCAGATCTAGGTACCCTGGTTCCTAGAACGGCCGACAGTCGTGTAGTGATCCACCGCAGCCACCACACTCTTCAGGAGCTCGACGAAAATGTCTGCGAAGCGCCAGACCCGTGTCAGCAAGGCGAACCTGCTGCCGCCAAAAACACTCTGTAGTAAGTACTTCTTACCATTGGTGATTTGCTTCACTTGATGAAGCTCCTCCCAGACACCCCGCACCTCCATCCTGGCCTCCTAGAGTTCTTGGTCCGCCTTGGACAGCTTGGAGGAATGTTCCTTTTGTTTCCCTCAAGGGCCTCACATTTTGTGACAACATCCTTGAGCTCCCCTTGCACTTCAGCCACTCGAGCCTCGTGCCTTTCACCAGCAATCTTTCTCATCTCCAATTTGGCCACCACCGTTTCGGCAGCCGCCTTCTTTTCGGTCGCCTTTGTGACGCCCGGATAATTAAACTACAGTAATATCTACTAACGATGCCATGTCATCATTTTCGTTGTTGCTAAATCCCCGTTGGATTCAATCTGGTTCAAATTCAAATTCAAATTTCTCATACATGCAAAATAAAATGTTCAAAGTGTGGCAAATATTCCATAACTAATTATGGTGGTGACCCAACACTTTTGTAAAGTATTTTAATGCTCTTGTGAATATATCAGTGGCAAAAAATAATTATTAAATGCTTTTTAAATTATAAAAATACTATACTATTTTATTTGAACCTTAAACTAAATGTGGTAGTGGTATAATTAGTAAAACCAATTTAGGTGCTCTTCATATATTTTATAAAGCTATTTGCTATTCAAAAATAAAAGAAAACTAAAACTGTAAAAAGAAAAATGACAAAACAGTTAAAACAAAAGAAAAACCCCTCCCCTGGGCCAAGCCCACCTGGGCTGGCCCAACTGGCCACGAAGCCCCCCGGTCGCTCTCCCCTCCTTCCTGTTCATCGGTCTCAGGTCGCTACAGGGGCATGGTTGCCCCCGACCACCTCGCCGCCGACGCCG